CTAAAGAAACATCCCTCTGCCAATTACTCTGAAGGCATGGATTCAGCTCAGCGTGAGAGCTTCATTGAAGCCAGTTGGCTGTGCCAACAGGACAGGGATGGCTCAAGAGAGGCTTCATACAAAGTATAGAAACTCTCAGCAGATTTCTTCAGTCTTTCCTTCATCCATGCTACGCTGGAGCCAGGAGAGTCAGAAAAATGGTAATATTTTCCCAAAGGGAGTACTTATCCCACAGCTCTGCCATCCCCCTGGAAAGCCCACAGAAGGGAAGGAGAGAGTTGCACACAAAACTGCAGGAGGCAGACGCAGACTTCTGCTCTGAGCCTGCCTCTCCCAGACAGAGGGTTTGAGGTTTTCCAGCGAGCTCAAGGAGCAAATCCTCTAAGCCCTGTGATTTCTCAGGCATGTGCCCTCGCCGTGGGCACCTCGAGTAATGCACCCAGGGCACTTGCACAGAGGTCTGGCTCTGGGGGAGCTGTGCCTGCGGCTGGAGCCCCGCCAGCGAGGGGGAGGACGGAGGGAGTGAGCGTGCTGGATCACCTCACCAAATGTCTGCTCTGCTCGTGTGCAGTCTCTCTGGCCCACAGCCTTTTGGCTCGCCCCACCTGCCTTTTTTCCCTTTTTTCCCCTTTTTTTTCCCTTTCCCCCAGCTGAATTGGTGGAGAGGAGGTTGCAGCTCCTTTTTGTCCCTGCAGCTTTCCTGTCTGGCTGACGCTGTGCCCTGGACACAGATGTCTGCTTAAATATGGATCCTGCGAGGCACAAGTTACGTTTGCAGGAAGAGTGTGGAGCAGGAAGATGCTGTGATCTGTAGGTGGGCTGTGAATTGCTGCTGTCCAGTGCAAGAATGAAATAACAATATGAAATAACAATAACAACAAACTGCCTTGAACAGTGGTTGTTTAGAAAGAGGATTTCGGTACATTTTCACGATTAATTATTTATCCAAGCAGCTACTGCCTTTAAAAGCATCCCGTCCACATAGCTCACCCTCTGTGAGCTCATTAATGCTGGAGCTGTGTCACCTCAGGCTAACCTGGTGGCTGTTGATTGAGTCCCGTGACAGCTGTTTGCAGAGGTTTGCCCTGCTCCCTGCCAGCAGCCTGCCTTCCTCCTCCAAATTGCCTCTCCATTCCAGGCAGGGTTCAAATTTCTGAGTGAACGCTATCCTGGGCAAAATGGTTGGATTTCGAAGAGTAATAGGTAAGGCATGACAGATAACATCCTGCACGCCCCCAGGAGTGCTCCTGCATGTTACAGCTTGAAGGTGTTGGTCAAGGTGAGCCCTGCACCAAGCACAGAAACATTTAAGTCCCAGAACAAATGTTTGGGGGGTGTACAAACATGTTAATGACCTCCAGTTAATTGGCAAGCAATTACCTTGAAGTAAAAATAGCTTTCCCATTGCTGAGCAGTCACAAGAGTGCGTGTCCCCCTATGAACACTTAAATTTTTGCCCAAGGAGCCTTGTCCAACTTGCCTTCTCAGTCCTGGTAGGTCTGTGATCAAAAGTTTGTTGTCCCCAGCACCAACTGCTGTTTGTTTGTGGTGCAGACTCAGCAAACAGAGCTGTCTGCCAAAGCTAATTTTCACACCGCCCTTTAATGAAGTTTTGCAGTTCATAATGCAATGAAAAAGCAAGATCATATTGACTGGCAAAAGCGTGTGGTTCAGCAAGGGAAGGTACCTGCTGTGTGCACTATAAAGGAACTATCAGTGAAGGCTAGGTAAGTATTTTTAACCTAAAGACAGCTTGGCAGGCTATAATGTGTCTCCTACCGAATTTCGAATCTTTCTGATCCTTTGCATGAGAGAAATAGACAGCTGGACTGATTTCATCAGATGTGTATTGCAGCTGAGAACCAAGAGACCTGCACCTAACACATCTCTTGGGACCCCAAGTGGGACCTGTGGGCAGATGTTTGACCTGCTGCCTCTCTGCCACCTGCAAAAGTCAGCAGCATCTTTTCATGAGGTCTCCAGTCCATGCAAACCATCAGCTTCTCTTAGAACTTGGATCAAGTCATTGCTTGATCCTCTACAATACTTTGGGAAAACAAAAAAGGCCCAGATTTTCCTGATCCACACCTGGGTTTCATTCCTGGAAGAGATTGTCACAGCATTTCTAGGAAGGCAATAACTGGGCTCACGTGAATGAGCGGAGTCCGTCGCTGAGGTCCCGTGACTCTGGGGCTTGTGGTGGCCGAGATGAGCTGGCACATCTCGTGGTGCAGGGTGGTTCCAGCTGCAGAGCCACGTCTGTTGTGGGCTCCACAGCATCGTGTGCCAGCAGGTGAGGCTCTTGCTGCCTGTGCCATCCCTGTCTCCAGCTGCTCCTGGCCATCCCTCTCTCCAGGCAGCGTAATGTCACGCCGAGGAGGAGGGAAGCAGGTGACACTGGGACCCTCAGGACAGCCAGGTGTCTGGCACTCGCACAGATTCCTCTGGATGCTGCACTGTGGTGCAGGGTCAGTCCACAAAAATCTTGCCAAAGCAGCCGGAGGTCTCTGCCTTGTGTCCTGGAGGAGCGAGGGAGTGGCAGATGGAAAAAACAAAACTAGCAAAATGTATTTCACAATCCTGGCAGCAGTACTCGGCAAACAGAGGAGCCACAATGATGGAGTCTCAGATTGCTCTCTCTGTGCAGCCTGGCTCTAGGAACTTTGGCGTTGTTGTGAGGCTTGAAAGGGCTCCTGTTCCCTCCGCTGGCTCCTATGGCCTTGCATTTGGTATCTTCAGGTGTTTCAAGCAGGAGGAGCCGTAATGAGTGCAGATACCAGAGCTTTCCAGGAAACATTCAGGTACAAGTGCAGCTCTGTTCACTGTAGCTGCCTTGAATTAAAGTTCTGTGCCTGTAGTGGCAGACAAATTTGCTGGCAAACATTTTGAAGAAAAAAAAAAAAATGAAGAAAAAGGCATCAATCCAGAAAGGCACTGTGCACAAACTAAGCTTAGTATAAATGAGTACACCTGTGCTCGACACCAGGCACGTGATGAATGCTCTGCTACATCCTAGCCAAAATAAATTTAAAATAAATATCGGCGTGTACTGGTGGAAGATGAATGCTGGTCTTGTAAGCAGGACCACATGTGGCAGAAACAGGATCCTCCCGCTCCGCGTGTCAGCTGGGGATATCCACAGGGAGGGTCACGTGCGCTCCTCTTGAGCTCACCAGCAGAGCTGGTGAAAACAGGTTTTGATTTGAATGAGTTATGACCCATTGAAAATGGCATCATGTGTAACCACAGTAAATTGTCATAATGAGATCACGAGGCTGGAGAAGTGAGCGGCGAGCAAAGAGGCCGCGTTCCACCGGCGCCCACGGCTGCCAGCCCGGGGCTGCAAAATGCAACCCGGGGACACGCTCCCGCTGCCTGGGCATCTTTGGTGGTTTAGTGACAGAAGCAGGGGTGGCACAGCCAGGCAAAAACTCATTGGAAGTTTTGAGTTAAAAAGAAGAAAAGGCTAAAATTCATGCAGCTTGGCATTTAGTCTTATCCAGAGTAACAGAGGGGACTGGGCTAACACAAAGAGTGGACAAACACGAGTGCTGTTAGTGCTGCATGCTCACTCAGGCTTAGCCTGGTTGTTTCTAAATCATGCTGCTGTAGGGGGGGGGGGGGGGGGGGGTTGGTGTTCAGGACAGAGCACTGCAGAGGTGAAAGGAAATCCTCCTGGAAGCACGATAAAGCCTTGGTGTATCCCAGGCTCAAAGCTCTGCCAGACCTGCTCCGGCATGGCTGCCCTGGGCTGCCCAGCTGTAAATGCTGCAGAATCATCACTGCCTTCTCTGCTTTCACAGGAAAAATCTAAGAGTATGATCAGTTTGATGGACTTAACACTTTACCAAATACCTGCACAACACAAGCAGCAGAGCTCCTGCCTTCCAAGTGTCTTGTAGGTGGACTATTGGAAAAAGCTCCTTTCCATTCCTCCCGACACAGTGCTGTTTGTGTGGGGCCATTCACAGCTCAGGGGACTGGAGGAACACGCTCATTCTGCTTCTCTTCTCAAGTTATCAATGCACGTGGCCCAGCCACATCCTCCTGCTGCCCGTGAGGCACAGGGCATCCTGCACGCTGCCCACTGCAGGACCTGCTCTGTTCCCTTGGTCTCAGGGCAAAGCAGGTTGCCCTCCACGTGGCTGCCACTCCTCCTAGCCTTGCACCCTTCTGTCTCCTCTGTCTGTTAAGCTCTGCACACAAATATCTGTGCCCCTGAGCCATGGAGACAATTCGGGCTCGTGTGGATACGCAGCACCTTCCTGACTCATATTGTTTATTTACAGTGGTTTGGTCATGGCTGAATTCATAGCCTGAGTCCATGGATAAAGAAACACCCAGCTCGGTGCTGTTCCATGCAGTGCCCTTGGCCCCGGGGTTGTGCTTGCATTTATCCAAGATGCACGGTCTGAACTGCACATTGAAGCCTAAGCTGTTCCCAGGGCCCCACCTCTCCTGCTCTGGGCAGCTAGATCCAGGTCCTTCTGCTCTTCCAGTAGAAGTGCTTGAGGCTGGTCTGGAAGGCTCTTGTCTTATTTTCCTGGTGCTGCCTTGCTGACATTGCTGCAAGGACAGCGAAATAGATGGAGACCAGCCAAGCTGAAGAGACAGAGGAGAAATGTGTCCCTGCATACACTTAAGAGCAAAGCACGGGGAGCACTGAGGCTTTCCTTTCCTGGTGTACCAGAGGAGTCTTCCCAGAGGGGGCATTTCTGCCTGCCAGAGCCACAGGTGAATGTGCCAGCACTGCCCACACTGCAGCACGGGTGCAGCTGTGGGGAACTCAGATTTTCCAGTTGGTACTTTCTCTGTGGCTAATGAGAACCAAGAATAAGACTGTTCATTTGAAATACTTTCTGAATTTACTGCTTAAGCTCACTTGCTGTGTGTCATCCACTGAGCAGAAGTCTTTCTGAGCTTTCATTCTCTAGTCTCAGCTTAGTAGCCCTGCATAAAAACCCCTACTAACACACCTCATTTTTCTGATACCCATGTAGGAGAAGAATTTGGACTGGTTCCCTCGGATGAGAGCCATGTCTCTGGTTAGCAATGAAGGCGACAGTGAGCAAAATGAAATCAGGAACCTTCAGGAGAGGCTGGAGTCAACCATGAGCCTTGTAAAACAGCTTTCCAGTCAGCTGGCTGAGCTCAAGGAACAGGTAAGTGCCCTGTGTGGGTAGCAAAGCGAGCACGTGTGAGTGAAGGCGCTGCCTTCCATCAAGTCGCAGTCAGGACACCCTTACAAAAGAGACTTTTGTCTCAGGAAGGTTTTGTCTTTCCCTCCAGCAAGCTTTCTGGGTAGATACACTGATAAGGGTTTGGAGTGAAATTGTACTCTGTTAGCAACAGCAGAGATCAGGTAAGGAGAAAACTCTGAGGGGGAATTAGACATGCAATGCTCCTGGGGAGTGTGCAAGGACAGAGGGGAAGGTGCAGAAGGGATGAGGGGCTGCGTAACCCGGCAGTGAAAGGATGTAGTGTCAGGAATAGCTGCGTAGGGATGGGAGCCTGGAGGGGAAAAAGCCTTCTGTGTCCAGCCCGTGGGGTTTTCCCCCACTGAGAACATCAACAGTGCCCTTGTGAAAACCATTTGCAGAGCCTGTTGCTTTGCTTGTGTCACCCTTGTGCTGGTGCCCTTCCTGCGGCTCCCTCTGCTCTCCTGGATGGAGCACAAGCTGCTGGCCTCTCTTAAAGCCTCCCTTAGAGCCCTGCTCCTGCCCACATCGCCTGCCTGGTGTGTTTGCACTCCCTGCAGGATCAGAAGGCCAGCTCCTTTTTTGCTGCAGGTGCTGGTCACCTCTGCTTTGCTCATTACAGTTTCAGAAAAGCATCTGTATGTGTTCTTTATTGGAAGCCTTTCAATGGCATCAACAGAGTTATCTAATTATTCCCCTTCAAGGCCCTCCTTAAAACTTTTCCCTGTGAAAAAACCAACAAAGGTTTAGGCTGGATGTGCTGAGACCATTGCTCATTGTGCTTACCCACAACATCCTGGTGGGATTTTTTTCATCCCCCTCTGGCCGAATCTGTTCTCTCCTGGCATAAATTTAAACTCTGTGTGGCCGGGGCCATCTTTTAGTTCCGTGATTCTCCAGCACCAAGTGCAAACGCTGACCCTCTGCAGGGCTGCACAACACAATAGCAGCACAAATAATACTCTGTAAGACCTGCCGGGGGATAAGAATAATGTATAAATGAGAATAAATGTCCACACTTTGCAGGAAACAGATCTCCCACTTCAAAGACATCCCTTACTTGTAATTTTCTATGCTGAAGAAAAGAATTCCACTCCCTGTTGTTTTGCTTATATGTATCTTGCTCTGTGACTGCTAAATAATAGTAAAAAGAAAAAAAAAAATCTCAACTCGTCTCTCTCTCTGCCTTTCCACCTTAGATGACAGAACAAAGGAAGAATAAGCAGAGGCTGGGCTTTCTTGGATCAAACACACCCCATGTGAATCATCACATGCCACCACCCTGATACCACGGGGAGAAGCCGTGACTAGCCTTTCATCAGTATTCCTGCTTTATTATAGAATAAAAAACTGAGATTGAGAGGAGTGAACAGTGCCTATTGTTACAAAGTTAAAAACAACCAAGTGCCAAGATGTTAAGTGGTTTAGCTCTGGGAACAATTTGTAGCTGTTTTTCGTGGTTGAGAGGGACCACAACCTAGAATGTGAGCGATACAAGGCAGCTCGTTTGTATTCCCTGCCTGCCCGGCCGGGCTGCGGCTCCAGGGCTGGGACAGAGGCTGGGACAGAGGCTGGGACAGTGCCTGCCCATATCCTGGGAGCCCCTTTTTCCCCGGAGCACGGGGAGGAACAAGCTGAGCAGAAGGAGGAGAGGTGTTTATTGAGGCAAGCACGACAACCTGGCTCAGAATCAATAGGTCGTCTCTGGCTCACTTGCCAAATAGCAAAATTAGTCATATTTGCTTGGCATTTACTATTTTTTAATTACTGAAAATATGTCAGTCCGTAAGCGGTGATGTTGCTTCAAGTAACTTCTACTAGGAGGGAAAAGGGGAGAAGCCTCAAAAGACTGGGAGAATTAATAAAAAAAAAGGAAAAAATAGAAAAAGTTGCAAAGAGAAACATTAACGCTTTTGAATTTTAGCTGTCACCATGCAATTTCTTATTTATAACATGGAGCACAATGGATCTACAGCTGTGGGAATGTTATGCACATAATACTGACAACATAACTGGAAATGATTTCTTTCTCCTGGCTTCAGATGTTCTCGATTAATGTGGCCGTGAGGTTTCACATACTGAGGAGTTAAACTGTGTTTTAAATTCAAGTTCCAATGGAGGATTCAGGGAAAAAAAATTATACCCGTCGTTTGAAGCATGTATGGGATTTTATTTTAAAAAAAAAAAGCTTAGAAATGTCTTTCTGTACAGAACTGTAATGGTGTCATTACCTTCCATAAACTCATCTTCAGCAATAGTTGACTTGAGTAAATAAACACCATATTCTGCCAGCTTTCCTCTGAGCTAAAGATTATGGGTTGATGATTTTGCCTGCCCTTCCCACTTCCAGGGGTTTGCAGGGAAGCCTGGTGGGGAACAGGGGAGCAACATCAGAGAAGCTCCTTCCAGCTCTCAGCCCTGCAAAAGGCAGCAGCTAAGTCACCAGTGCAGGTTTCTGCTCTGTCCTGTATTTCTTGGGATGGCTTGAAAGAAAAGTTACAGGGTTTCTACAGAGTCCTAGGGGACTCTTTTGTCTTTTAGGAAAAAAAATGGAGGGGCACAAATAGGAGTTGGGTCCTCAGTTCAGTTTAATTTCAGTAGGTTTTGGTTACCAGATTGTCTCACATTTGAAAATGCACCTCTTGTTACATGGAAGTCGCTTTTTAAACCAAAATATTTTTGCAGTGATTTGCCCCTGTGAAAATTTCATTTTGTTATAAAAGTCATTTTGATTGAAAGAAAAAATATTATTGATGTAAATATTTTCCAGTTTCTTCCTGGAGAAATGCTGTTGTCCTGGTTAAGGCACTATTCAAACCAGCAGGCCTAGAGTAAAGGGAAGGAAGAGATATTTCACTCTCTTTATCCCAAATTCAAACCAGTTCTTTTTTCTTATTTTTTGTGTCAGTGATGTGGCTGAGATAAAAGTAATATATTTTAGCAATATATTTATATCATCTACCACTAAAATATCTGTTGGCTTCAGTTGTGTCCTTCAAAAACAGTGTAGAAATCAGAGGTTTGTGTATTTTACTGGAAGAAAATCTCTTTCTGCTGGCCTTAGTCAGGAGAGCACCCTGGCTGTGAGAGGTGATGGCCAAAGGAGTTGCCCACAGACATAAAGTCAGCAGTAAATTGGTGGAGACTCAGACCCTGTAGCTGTATTAATTCAAATTAGTTCGTACAGTTAATCAGACCTACTCACAACTTCTGTTGCAGCAGCAATTTCCTCTTTCTCACAAGTGTGTTTCTAAAACACAAAGCACAGCTCAATTTTAAGATAAGTAAAACTCTCATTATTTTTTGGGGTTGCATGGTTGGCTAATACTGGAATGGGTGGGCACTTTTCTTGTTTACACTCAGAAAAAGCAGCTGCACATCAGGAGCTGGAAGAACCTGAGGCTGGATGGGTTTGTGCCCAAGCTCAGGGCTGTGGGTGGGTGCTGCTGGTGCTCCCTGTGTCTCACACCCCAGAGCACATCCCCTTGGGCTCAGGAGCCCAGGAAGAGTTACAGCATCAAAATCAGAGAGCAGATGCTGGTACACCTTGGCCACGGTGCCTTTGTGCTGTTCACAGCTTCCCAGAGAGACCTCTGTAATCAGTAGCAGTAGGTGATGCTACTTGCACAGACTGTAAATATATTTCACTGAGAATTTCGACATCTTTGCTGTTTCTGTCAAAACTTAGGCCCTGCCCTGCTCTCATCCATGTGAGCAATCTGCACACTCACATGTGGTAAGGCAAACAGGAGGCTCCTTGCGTGGAAAATGGTTGCAGGGCCAGGCCCCAAGACTTAAAAGATTGTGAAATATCCCCATGAATGAGTTTATGACAAGAAAATCATTGTTTTATACATATATTTATGTGTATATCTTTGTTTAATGCAGCTGGGGTAACCTCTTCCTAGGCAAGTATCAATTACCTTACCTATTTATATTAAATGATTGCAATGAAGTTAAAACATCTAAGAGCTTTTAATGCCTCAGAGAGATTTATAATTATAAGCTCCTTGACAGTTAAAATCTACTTAAGTAAATGTGTCCATTGCTGCTGGATGTAACTTTTAATAAAGTCTGTCATTTTATATACGTCTGTCTCATTCTTGGTGCTGAGTTTCTGTGTGAGATTATTTTGCACATTTTTGTCCTCTTTATTTTTTTTTTAATGTTTTTAGTGTAACCAAGGGCTTTCCCTGCTCCTCTGGGTGAAAGAATTAAGAAAGACAGACTGTGTCTCTCAACGGGGATAACTTGGGCTAAGGAAATCTGTGGTCTTGTGAAAAAAGGAAGAGCCCTCCTTACAAACCTGTGGTCAGAAAACTACACCATAAAAGCGCTTTCTTTCCTTTTTACAGCTTTTTTTTTTTTTTTTGACATATAGTCAATATTAATGATGAAAAGAATAAGGCCTCTTCTTAGCAAGAGAAAGCCTGCTAATTAATTAGTAAGCAAAATCCTATTAAATAGAGCATGCTGTTTCTCCTGTGCACTTGCTCCATCAACTTACTGAGATTTTGAGTAGAATTAACTTTCTTTTCTATTCTCTGGTATGATTTTAAGGCCAAATAGAAAGGAGCTTGTTTACTACTAGTTTTCTTAGATGGTTTTACAAGAAGGATATCCTAAGAGAAAAGGGGTTTCACGCAGCAAGCTTTCAACCTAAGATTACAGTCCTACTTAAAAAGCCCCCAAACCAGCATTAAGCTTCTAAGCCCAAAGGGGAGCAGTTTCACATGCAGGACTGAGAACCTAATGCCAAAGCTTTTCTTTTGCAGAATGTTTGCCCCAAGGCACATTTTAATTCAAGAGGTGTTTCAGGGAGCAAACCTCTCCCTGGGCACTGGCTCAGCTGTTCTGGCCTGCAAGTAAATTCTGCTCCTCGCTTTCCACCATTGCTGCTGCTGCTGCTCCTGTGACAAAAGCATCCCAGGCCAGGATGTTTTCCTTGGAAAGCACGTGCTTATTTTCTGGGGAAGGCTGCCAAGTTTATTTTTGAGGGGAGAAAGCGGAGATTTAAGGCTGCTAACCTCTCTGCTGCCCCGGGATGCCCTCAGGAGCACGACTCCTGCTTGCAGGTGCCTGTGCTGAGCATCCTGAATTTTGCACAAAATCATTCAAAATGCCTCAAAAGGAACTTGGGCTGTGGGGGTTTGAAATGTGCAGTGGTGTACTGCTACCATAAGCTCACACTTGCCTGCTCTATTTATATGCTGCACCTTTCAGGCTGAAGCAGGACACTGCAAGGCAGAAGACAAGCAGCCTTTCTAACTTTACTATTTCCACGTTTTTCTCTTGCTGCAAACAGCCAAGAGTTAAATTTCTTTTTGTACTTAAAGTTTCCTTCTCCATGTCTCCACCTTTATCTGCTGCCACTCAGGCAAGATGAGACCTGGGCATGTCCTGGACCATGGGGTTTACTGATTAACCAAAGAAATAAGCTAAAATGTATAGGTTTAATAATTCTGTTTAAATGTTGTAGATTGTCAGCATCCAATATGTGACTCAATGGAAGCAGGAGGTTTTCCTAGCAGCCCTTCTTGTGGTAAATCATTGCACAGTCTCCATGCCCTGATGGAGCAGCCATGTGGCCTTTGCCAAGGCAATGCACACCCGTGTGTGAGGCTGTGGGTTCAGCCCAGCCACTGCTTTGTGTGGGCCCTGTCACCATCCAGATTTCATCCAGATGGCAAGAGCAGTGTGGGGGATCCAGTTACAGCCCAAAGGCTGCAATTCCCTTTATATGTTGCTCCCTTCTGGCCCCCAATATCTGCCACATTTATAGGTTTTGTTCCCAGTAACACTGAGCTGCCACAAAACCTGCAGATTTTGGGCACGTCCTCAGTGTTTCCTGTAATGGCCTTCAGCTGGGATATGTCAATCTGAGTTTCACAATCCTCTCCTAGGAGTACTTGCTGCCTTACCAAAGATAAAAGGATATTTTTCCTTGCTTCTTCTTCCCTGCCTTGCCAGCATTACAGGATGAAACACCCGGGACCTGTCTTACCTCAGTCCCTGCTGTAGAGACCCATAGTTGTGTGTTCTGCAGAGCACAGAAGGACCTTGAAACAGGGTTTAAAAAAATCCATTTTCACTCACGAGTCTGTGTTGGAGGACAGAAGTTGGCTCAGAGTTTATATTATTTATTTTTCAAGTCAACTTTTGCTGGCTTTGAGGTTGGTTCTGGCCCATTTGCAGCCCACTGGGGAGTCTGGCACAGAAGCTCCCACCCCAATTTGATAAAGCCAGCAGAATTCCTGGTGCTCCCAAAAACCCCTCCCAGCCCTTCATCTGCCTGTTCTCAGAGCTGAGGGTGTTCGTGCTGTGTGTGACCATGAGTGGTTTGTGCACACACGACCCAGCTGAGGGGATTTGGGAACCCTGGAACAGGAATGGGGACGGGTTGGCTGCAGCCCTAAACAAGCAAAGCTGGTGTGAGCGCTGCCCTGCCATGAGAAATGCAAACCCTGCTGCCTGTGGCAGGGCTTTGCCCCTGGTGGAGGAGTCAGGAGAGGAGATTTTGGTCCCTGGAGCTGTCATGGCTCTTCCCAGGCAGGTGTAAACATCTGTCCAGCTTCCTGGTTGTCAGCTGGGATGTGGGAAGATGCTCACAGGGTATTGTGCACCTGGCCCCAGACTGTGAGAGTTGTAAACGTGATGTGTTACAGTGCAAGGAAAGAAAGGGAAGGAAGAAAGTTCAAGGGAAGGTCTCAAGGGTACAAGAAAATGTTGTCAGGGATGGTGATTTTACTGGTGGGATTCACTGAAAGTTTACTCTTGAGTTACTGGGAAGAATTAGTGTTACCAGAAGCTGGCTGACCATGTCTTTGTCAATCTTGAGTGTCTTCAGAAGAGAGGATTCACTGGTCCACTGACATCTCTATTGCTCAGGGTCCTCGCTCTGTGAACTCTGGGGTTTTTCTTGCAAGTTTGTCCACAGCACCTCACTTGGGATGAGTGCTCTCTTACATGGCTAGCACAAATCTAAATAAATACAGAAATATAAACTGAGCTGGAAATTTACTGAGTACAAGCTGTCTTGCAAAATTGCCTGTGTTTCCTGGCTCTAGATGGGATGGAAATACCACAAAACTCACTTCTCTCACAGTAACGTGATACTTCTGCTTCCGAGCTCGGCCCAAAGCAGGAGGTGGAAGCGTGTTCAAGAGAGGAAAAAGAAAAGCAAAAACCTTTTTATTATTTATTATTTTTATTATAATCATGCTCATTTCTAACATGGCAAAATCAAACCCTTGATTAGAATGCTTGAAGTGGCCACTGTGATCAGTTACTCAAATATCTTGTGTAGTGCAGGGCTTAGAGTTTTATCCATCTGCTCCTCTGTGGCACAGGGCTGGAAATGGGAGCTAACCTGGCCTGGAAGGCTCCATGGGCAAAAGACAAGGGGTGTTTCTGCCAGCTGGTTCTCATCTGACTCCTTCAGCCCAAGTGCTGCATCCTGGCCAAGCAAACCTGGTTCCCCATGGGCCATGCTGGTTCCCGTTTCTCCAGGAGAGGGAAATCCAGTCTAATGCAATCTTAGGATGGAAATCTTGTTCTGCAGCACAGTCATTGTAATAATAGCCCACATGGCTCAGCACATGGCCTTGGGTGGGGTCTGGGGCATTTGACCACCAAGTCTGTGGAGGCAGAGCCGTGCCCACCCTGCCCCAGGTCATCACCTCCAAGGCAAGGAGCACATGTGTGAAGTTGCAGGTGGGCTGAATGTGGTTCTTCTACCTCACACCAAATCTAGGCAGGTATGGTGCTGCCAGATCACCTCTTTTTTCCTGCAGATGCCTTTTATTTTGCCTTGTTTTAGTGGCAAGGGCTCCCTTCACGATGGCCTTCCCTCAGCCAGAGGTTCACAGTTTCTCCAGGCAAGTGACAAGTTATCTTATGGGTTCCCTGTAATTTTCCCCATCTGGCCAAATATTTGGAGGCAGAAGTTATGTCAGCTAAGGTGGCAGGGAAGGAAAAAATGCTGTGACATTGCTGGGACAGTGTGATGTGGCTGTGGCAGAGAATGCCCATGGTGTGAGCAGCCACATCCTGAGGAGGAGATGGCTGGGAATTTAGGGCACTGCACAGCTCCTCCCCACTGATCCAACCTCCAGCACAGCACCTTCCTCAGGGTGAAACAGGGACATGGATCCAACCTGCCTTTGTCACTGCTCCCCCCTCAAAAGAGAAGAGGGAAGGTCGGTGTCCTCAGCACTGCCCACGCCCTGGGTGTCCCCTCCTGCCTTTGCCAAAAAATGTCCTATTCACAGCATCTTCTGAGAACTGATGGAGACCACACATGTCCTTTCAGCCAGGCCAGCAAATAACCTTCAGCTAAGTCTGCCCAGGGCTGTTTTGGATCTGGTGATCTGCATTTAGAAATAGTCTCGGTATTTTTAAATGTTGCCTAAAGCCATCTGCTCCCCTCTTCATTTTATGTTTTAATTGTCATTTATAACATATTATATGAGCTATTCAAAATCCAGACAGACACTGAAGGGAAGTGAGCGAGTCCCGAGCTCCAACACACAGAAATCTCCAAAAGTCTTCCCTTGGCTTTCCAAGGCCTTGGGGCTGGCACCCCCGTCAAGGCAGCCCGAGTGGCTGCAGCTCTGTGGGATCCTGGCTCTGGGACACACCCTGTGCATTCCACAACTGCTGCCAGGGCCAGGGACCTGCTGGTGGCTGGGGCCAGGCAATCCCTGACATCTGCAGGGCTCCTGGTGGCCGCTCTCACAGCCGGGCACAAGGAGGTCAACTGATTGTCTCAGGTCACCAGTGCGTGAGCAAATGATTCATCCCAGATTTTCCTGGCTCCTAAACCTTTGCTCAGACCACAAGGCTGCTTAGTGACTTAGCAGGGCTCTGAGGAAGTCAGCTATAAATGGCAAACACGCTATGGCCAAAGGACCAGCTGCGGCGTTATCCACGTGCCATTTGTGAGTCTAGCAGGGCTGCCTGGTAGCTGGGAATTACTGCCAGGGTGAGGAATGTGAGTTGTTTGATGAAGCAATGGCTTCAGACAAAAAAAAAAAAAAAATTGTTTGCCTTGCCTCCTACTTTATGGCAAAATCTTTCCACCTCCATCT